CTTTCGTTCTTTCTCTTCCCTATCCGTCACCTTCTTTGTCCTCTCCTCCCCACCTCTTTCTTCACCCATCCTCTCTCTCTTCCCCCTCTCTCTCTCTCTCTCTCTCTCCTTTGTCCCTCGTTCCCAGTTTTCCAATTACAATAATTACAACACACATCAAACAAAGCAATCATAAACAACCATAACAATTCCTGGTAACTTCTCTCTCTCTCTCTCTCTCTCTCTCTCTCTCTCTCTCTCTCTCTCTCTCTCTCTCTCTCTTTCTGACACACACACACACACACACACAGAAAGAAAAAAACAACTAACAAACTACATACTTCCTCACCTGTAATTCACCCTTGCTGTAACCTGCCGTGATATATTACAAAGAGCAATACAAAGCCCACACGGTTCAGTACCCGGGTATTGTCTCTAAACACGCTCATCCACACCAGTGATGTTATTGTAAGCAATACATTCCAGCAAAGTGTTTAAAAGTAGTAGTAGGTATTTTTCTTCATGTGTGTGTTTTGTTTATTTGTGTGTGTGTGTATGTTGTTTATTTATTTGTATATTTATGTAAAGTATGTTTGTGTATATTATATGTGTTGTATGTAAATATATGTTTATGTGTATGTGTATGTATGTATGTATGTGTGTGTGTGTAACTATGCTATATGTGTGTGAAATATATATATGTATGTGTGTGTGTGTGTGTGTGTGTGTGTGTGTGTGTGTGTGTGTTTTGTGTGTGTGTGTGTGCAGTATATCTGTTTCTTTCTCTCTCAAATAAGCCTGAATCAGATCTCTCCCCACCTCGTGCCTCACTTTAGCTCCCCCTCTCCTCCCTCCCCTCCCTCTCCCTTCCTCCTCCCTCCTCCCCCCTGCCTCTCCTTCTCTCTCCTTTCTCTTACCCTCCTCCTCCTCCTCCCCTCTCTCCCCCAACCACCGCTCCCAGGGTAGTATAACAAACCAGTATTGCGTCATCAGCATCCTCGCTTACTTGTGATACGACCTCCAATTACAAGTTCGTAAAAGTTATCTCTCTCTCTCTCTCTCTCTCTCTCTCTCTCTCTCTCTCTCTCTCTCTCTCTCTCTCTCTCTCTCTCCCTCCTCTTCACCCTTCCCTCTTTCTTCTCTCTTCTCCTCCCCTTACCCTGTTTCCTCCCTATCCCCTCCCCTTCTTACCCTCCCCTTCACCCCTCCCCC